TACCATCATCAACCAATTGCATGATGGCGTAGTTCTTGGAGGTGTCATCTTTAGTTGTGATGAGAACAGTGTAACGTTGAGCAACTGTGATGTAGATCTTGTCAGTCTCATACTTCTCAACTGGAACACCATCCACTTCAACAACAGTCATGTTATGACCTTCAATGAAGAACCAGTATGAAACAAAGGCACCCATGTTCACCAATCTCAAGAGATAGGTGGTGTCTGGTTCAACTTCCCATGTCATGTTCTTAGTGTTGTTCATCAAGAAGTTATTTGGAATTGGCTCAGCACCTGTTGGGTTGTACAAGTTCAAAAAGTCTGGGATAAGGACATCAGCAGTATCATGGTACCACTCCATGAAAGTCAGCGTCGCAGTCTCATTGTAGTCGATACCCTGCTTATATGGGTAACCCTCATCATCCTCAATAATCACAACACCCCTCATACCATCCATATACTGACCACCTGTGTGGGAGTGATACCAGTAAGAACCGTGCTGGTCTGGAACTGTGAAGTTATATGTCATAGAGTGTCCAATTGGGATAGGACATTGTGTGACCATCTCCGGACCATCCATCTGGTTAGTACCGTGCTGGAACAAACCGTGGAAATGCAAGGAAGTGTTTCTATCATCAAACCCGTTGTTCAAGTGCACAATAATTCTATCACCCTTGTTGACGATGACATCTGGCCATGGGAATTCACCGTTACACGTGATAACTGGTCTCTCATAACCATCGAGATTGGCAGTACCCCAAGCAGCAGTCCAGTTGTATACATGTGTCTCAGCAAGAGCAGAGCCCACAAGGGCACCAGCAGTGAACAAACCCTTCACACTAACCATAATGTGTATACGACTGCGGAGTAGTGAATTATCTGAAAGATCTTCAGAGTAGTTTCAGAGGGAGAACTTAAACAAGGATGGGCACCAGCTTTATATGAATGATAATCAGACTTTTGGATGGATAAAGATTTTACAGAAAGTCTCTGTAGCGGTGTAAAAAAACCGCCTCTGCAAGTTCGCAGCCGGGTGAAATTAAAGGTTAAAATGTACGTATGGGACTCAATCACCTTGCAGCAAACATTTTAAACCGTCACACTTACTTTTGGGTTATTCTTGACCTTTGTGAGTGTTTTGCTTTTGTCTTTGCCGTAGATGAGGTGAGACTTGAGTCCTCAACGATGTGAAGCAGCATGGTTGCACATGTACAGTCCCGATCAGAAGATAATTCAATTAGGTCCTTCAAGCTCCAAGACTCCGGACATGAGACTCAAGACTGGAAGAAAAACTTGGACCTCAAATTACAATTATATCCTGCATGATATGCAAGTCCATGTTTCAGCTACAATCCAAAGCGAGTCTAGTTAACTTTAAAATTTCCGCATAGGACACAAGACAAAGATTTGGATTATGCCGTGGCCGGACTCGGCAATTTTGGAAAATTTTTAAAGCTGCTGCTACTACGTAAAATTGGACGACGTTCACAGCACATGCCACCGCCGTTTGAACCTAAGCATGTCGTTGAGGGTAAAAAAAAGATTAGATTCATCAGATAATCAAGTCACGCTTGGTTCAATCATTGTTCTTTCAGACCAAGGATACTCACCAAAAGTTCAAACTAAGTACGTCATGTTGTTATATGTCCTTTAGGAATAAACTGAGCAGAAACCCAAGACCTTGGCCCAAGCATTTTTCTTGTCACCGACGTCTAAAATAACGTTATCTGAATAATCACACAACAGTTCTCTCGGCATGCAGGATAAATAGATTTTTGAGTGAAGATGGAGGAGGACATTTCCTTCCTTCTTTGAAAAACACCCGATCCGTACATTCTTTTGGGCGTGGGCACCATATGCAAAGCTCTCTAAGGTTGTTGCATGATGGCCTAGTCCCCTCCTTTGATCGCGATGAAAACAAGGTGTGCGTATCAGATTGATCAGCTGAGGCAGAACATTAGCTGGATGTGATATCAATTGTCCACACCTCAATTCTTGAGGCCATGAACTCGTGATGCAAGATTGTGGTGATTGGTACCGGTTTTTGACCTGTGTGTGCCTGGCGAAATCATATTCAATATCTCTCCCTATATAAACCAGTACGATGTACCCTTGTTTTTGATTTAAGGATGTGGCTCGCATAACGAACCCGATGAATTCCAAAGAGAAACTCATGGGACTATCAGTTGCAGTGGAGCTTTAAGCTTATTTTGTGTCATTGTTTTAGTAATTAATGCAAAGCATGAACCGCTCTTGATGTTGAGCTGGGAAGTAGCTGGGCTGTCAAAAAGAAATTTGCTAGTTGTAGATCCAAAGAAAAACCATCCTATCAGAGAAAGGCTCAAGTATGAAGTTATAATTGATGTCATATTTACTTTTTGACTATCTCATTACAACAACGTTTGAAGCCTTAGTGGTCCAGTTTATCACTGCGCTCCACCGTAGTGGTGGTTATTGTCTAGCTACTTTAAGGTACTAAATGAACGTGGTCGAGGGAGTTGATGCAAGGTTCAAGTATTACAGTGGACAGTTCTGTTTCATAGCTCCCATTCACCAACCGAAGGCCCTTTCATTAACGTTAATAATGAGGTAGTCTATACCTGATGCAATTAATCCGAATGAACGATGAAATTTCCGGGTATCGTAAAGAATGAGTTTTTATTGCTGATCTGTCTAATGTATTCACCAATGGGAGCTTCACACCCAACAGTTATGCTAGCCTCAAAACAAAATTCCATCTAGGTACATTCTTGAACATCAAGGAAGCCAAGTGTTTGAGGGATGCTTGGTGTTTACAGAGCAGTTGTGTCTTGTTCCTTCTTGTCCTGTGTCCTGTGTCCTCTGAGTTGAGTTTTGTGTTCCGTGTCCTGTGTCCTGTGTCCTCTGAGTTGAGTTTTGTGTTCCGTGTCCTGTGTCCTGTGTCCTGTGTCCCATGTCCAATGTCCCATTTTTTGTTAAGCGCTAACAGTGTCCCTTGTCCCATGCCTGATGTCTCAATTTAAGGATCTTGTGGCCAAACGAGAGCTCAGGCCTTACACCAGCATGTGTCTCTTGTCCCTTCTCCCAATGTGCCCCCTATACATCCAAACATCTCAAGTCTATATGTCTATATGTCTATATCATGTCTGCAAGACCGAGTCTAGTGCATGGTTGTAAAACTCCTATCAAGCCAAACCGCTCAGGACTCAAGACTCAGGACTACACTTGCAAGTGGCCGATCGATCAAGTAGCTAACAGCATTAATGACGGGGTTGACTTTATAAAGTCCGGGCTTTAAAGTGGTGATGACGAATATTGTTTTCGATGATCTAGACTAAGATGATCATACAGAAGATAATCACAACTTGGATGGCCAAGAGAGTAGCAGCACTTTCGCATTGTTTTTACAGCTAAGCAAGCTATTAATTATTAACTGATGGAACTACTAATGCTATAGACTTTACGGACAAAATCCTAATACTCAATTGTTCGTAATGAGCGGGAGAAATTGGGGTGTGCATATTGAAGATTTTTTTTTTTTCTCCACCAGTTCAAGTCTGAGGACTTAAGGTGATCGTGACCATCATGATCACGACGTCAAACTTGGATACCCTTTTTATGTAAATGGCCAATGGATTACATTTCTCCTGCATCCAAGGGCGTGTGTAATGACTTACTTAATTTGAACGTTGGGGGTGTTCAATAACATCAAGCCTTTGTGAACACTAGTCCGACAGGTCGCGTCAAGATTAGTCCATGGGACTTCATCATGGTAATATTAACCAGCCGCCGTTTCTAATAAACTGCAAATAAATTATCTAGATAATCAATATGCACACTGGCGAACGGCGTAAAGTGCACTGCAGAGAGACTACCTAGTCTCATAGCCGCAGCTGCAGATCCTAATACTACAGTGCAGCAATTGATCCTCGAGATACTCAAAATTGGAAGGTGCACGGGACTGTAACTTATAAACAAAGCTTGTCATTGGTTCCCTTTCTTGGCTTCTGTAAAAAAAGAGCCAATCATAGGGAGGGTCATAACCTTAAACAAATGTAACCTTCTGCACCCTACAAAGTCCTTCAAGTGCTTCATGAATCATCAAGCAAATATTAGTGTTTGGGACTTGGAAGCTGGGTGGGCCCACTCGGGTTCCAGTTTACGCTTACATGCAACCAATCAGGCTGTGTTCGTGGTCAAGAGTTTGGAATGTCGCTGTACTAATGTGATACCAATCAACTCACGTTTCTTTGGGCTTCTCAAAACACCGTTGTGCGCCATGAACGCTGCTGAGGCCTCGTCACCCTAAGCGACCAACACTAGTGGAATCCAGCTCGTCCATCCATTTCATGTGATTCAATCTGGCACATACAACTTTCGCTCCAGGTCTCTGTACATGTCTTAAGGCGCATTAAGTCCCATAGTGACCAGCACTAGTTTCAATAATTTTATCAGATTGATCAGTAAAATTACCTCATAAACTCACATGTAGTTAACACCCACGCCGTTTCCTAAAAACAAACTCGTTGAGAAGAATGCAATTCACAGCCGGGTGTGAAACATGAACTATTTGCACCTCGTACTCAACAATTATAAGCCAATGGAACGCCTTCATGTGAGTGGTTGAATTGTCGTACAAGATCAACTTTAAAAGTCTCCTTTGCTGAGACCGTTTTCATGTGTCCTGAGCCCTTGATTCGTAAACAGCCGTAATTGGCTTAGAGAGCCAAAACCGAGTAGGGATCCGTGTAGGAGGGTACATATGGGGCCAGTTTAAAAGTTTGTACCGGTCCACCGGCCACTCGTAAGTGTTTCCAGTACATGGTTGTGTTAATGTAGGCTTAATTGAAGTGCTCAGCCAAACTTGCGGATGCGATATACTTTGGTGGAGAGTAGAAGAGGACCCATCAAGAGAGAGTGAGAGGGATTGATACACCGTGTGGTGGACTCCTGATGCCAAACATTTGATGGATTGACAGCTTCTTATATACTTGCTCTGGAGTTTATAAAACTGCTCATTAAGGACATGTTATTTGCTCATTTGATAGGTTCACTGTTGCTGCAAGTAATTTGCTCATTAATAGCATCAATCAGAGCGAATGAGTTAACCTCGGATGGTTCCCATATCTAGCTATAAGTTCACAGGTCCAATACTCGATGGAGGTGGTACCCTCGCAGGCTGACGGCCTCGTGATTACACTGAAGTATGTGAAGCTTCACCTGATGGTCGTAAATGGGTTCACTTAGAGATATTAGCTAGTGGGCCTCTTTTCGATAATTGTGTACGTACTAGTCTACGTCTCAATGGAGCTCTCCGAACCAACTTAGGCTAGTATCAACTCTATACATTCACATCCTGGATTCACAACAAGCACTGGTATCTTGTTAACCAGAAATGTATATAAAGCACCACCAGCCAGCCCTGGACCTTCAACCACATTGTCATAGCTGATACCCTGGATTCCCAGTCCCATGTCACTACTGACACTGCCAGTGAAACTTCCTATCGAGCATCCACCATCACTACGCAAAGATCCTGTTTTGATCATATACGCTCAGTGGATACAACAGATACCGACCGTAGCCTCCAGCAGCTCCTAACATATACTGAAACTCCTCCAGCTCTCGCTCTCCAAGGGGTTAATTGAATCCTCTTAAACAACGCTTTCATGATTGCTCATTGGGCACAAGAAATAATCACCACAGCAACGCAAAAGGGGATCACAGACAGCCCTCGGAACTTGCGGAGATACAGCCCAGATTCCGAGGCCGCGAACTCGTTTTACACAAATCGCTGACGCCTCTCGAGGGAGGCCTTGTCCATGTTGTTATAGATGAAGAACAACTTGCACCGCAACAGTTGATTAAGAGAGCTTCCATCGCCTTATTATCAATCAATTGGGCCATAGAACCATGCAATACGTTGGTCGTGCTTTTGACTCGGTCTCAAAGACGTGGAATTCCATCAACCCTGCAACGCTTTCAGGAGCCATAGACGTTATAGTTGTCGAGAATGAGAATGGCGATCTTTCGTGTTCTCCCTTCCACGTTCGATTTGGCATACTGCAACTGCTACGTCCTTCCCAGAAGAAGGTTGACTTCATCATCAATGGGAAGATGACCAATCTTCCCATGAAGCTTGGTGACGGTGGCGAGGCCTTTTTCGTGTTTGAGGCGTCAAAGGACGTTGACGTTCCTAGTGATCTGATAACGTCGCCGGTGCTGTCAGCTGCAAGCTCGCCATCCTCCTCACCTCCCAGCTCACCTAAGAAGAATGACAGTTCTTTACAAGAGCCTGAGTATCTCGACATCACACAGTCAGCACCAGACCTCTCGAAACCGGTACACCCAGGTGAGTTCAATCCGATGAGCTCATCACCGACGTTGGCAGAGCCTGCGATGTCACCGTCTCGGGAGGCAACATTGGAGAAAGTCTACAACCTGTCGAAGAAGTTGACCAAGATCAACATACCAACAACGGTGGCACACAACGGAGATTTGTTTCTCGATATGGATGGATATAAATCCAACGCAAAGAACATCCACAATAATGACGAGATGATTAGAGATTTGATCAACGAAGAGTTTGGCAGCGACGTTGACGTTTCCCGATTCATCAAAGAGGATGACAAGGGGAACCTGATTTTCTCAACGGATGATTTGTCCATTACGAGTCCACCAACATCACCTGATTTACCTGTTGATAGCGGTTCGTCCGATACTGAGGAGCCCCAAACTGGCACATCTACGTCATCTTCAACGACGAATTACGTCAAGACTCTAAGATTAACGTCTGACCAGCTCAAGTTTTTGGATTTGAAACCAGGTGAGAATGACATCTGTTTCAGCGTCAATAAAGGGAAAGCACTGATCAACTCGAAGCTGTTTTTATGGAAACATGACGTGCCAATCGTGATATCAGATATCGATGGCACCATTACCAAATCAGATGCGCTTGGACACGTCTTGACGATGCTGGGCCGTGATTGGACGCACCCTGGTGTTGCTAAGCTGTTCACAGACATTGAGCTGAACGGATACAACATTATGTATTTAACTGCGAGATCTGTTGGCCAAGCAGACTCCACGAGGGCTTACTTACGGTCGATTGATCAGGATGGGGTACAGCTTCCAAATGGCCCTGTTATTCTATCACCAGATCGGACCTTGGCAGCGTTGAAAAGAGAGGTTGTCTTGAAAAAACCAGAGGTATTCAAGATGGCGTGTTTAGGCGACTTGAAGAACCTTTATGGGGAGCTAGGAACTCCGTTCTACGCTGGGTTTGGTAATAGAATTACCGATGCCTTGAGCTATAGATCTGTTGGCATACCAAGTTCGAGGATCTTTACGATCAATCCAGTTGGTGAGGTGCACATGGAGTTGTTGGAGCTTGCCGGGCTGAAGAGCTCGTATGTGTATATCAACGAATTAGTTGATCATTTCTTCCCACCGGTCAGTACAGGTGTTGTCAACGAGACGTATACGGATGTCAACTTCTGGAGAGAACCGTTACCGGAATTGAGCGATTTGAGCGATGAGGAGACCGGTGGTGACGATTCCAGAGATGATGGGTCTATTGATGTGCCGCAGATGGCACAGAGGCTGACGCTTGACGACGTTACGAAGGATTACAACGAGGAGGAAGATGAGGATTATGAATATGATGAGGGTGAGGATGAGGATGAGGACAAGGATGCCGATGACGAATACGACGAATACGACGATGGTGATGAAGATGAAGAAGATGACGGAGATGAAGACGAATACGACAATGAAGAAGATGAAGAAGATGAAGAAGATGAAGAAGATGATGATGACGTGGATGACGATGGAACCGCCTACTCCGACGAGGACGACCTCGATGCAGAGCTCCTGGAATCACCTCACTCCCTCAGAGAAGGGTTCTTCCCTGCAGCCGAAAACCCCCAAGTCTCGCTCACAAACTCGCCAGTCACGGGCATCCACTCCCCAAACTTCATGAAGGCAAGCGATCTAATGAACCAATTGCACATCAGTGAACATCAAAACACCAAGAAATGACCACCCTTCACACCTTCAAATCCTCTCCAAAAACCCATTGAACAAGCCAAAACTTCTCATCCCACCCCATCACCTGTGCATACACGGGCATTGGCGCCGAACTAAGACATGCACGAAAAATTTTCCACCGCAGCCTCCACCAGGCTCAGCTGTTTTTTCCCCTTTAGGCTTTGTTTTTTCCAGGCTCGTTAGGCATATAATGGCGGGCTTTCTTCTCGAAACCTTTTCCACCTGTTAACGGATGCTTGTTTGGCTTTTGCTGTGTAGAAAGAACCGTTTCGCCCAATGTTTTTGTCTCTTTTAGCCCAGTACACGGAGGACTGGTGTCTGTGCGCAGCGTTGCAGTTCTACGTTCTCTTTATCGGGAACAGGACACCTCCTTTCCTTAGGGAATTCGACGTCACTGATCCTTCGCTTCAGCACCCGTATACGGAGTACGAACAGGTTTCCGACTTCCTGTGTCTTGTAAGTTGTTCCGGTGTTTCGACGCTGTTAAGGAGGAGAAGAAGAAGAAGAAACAAGTACTAACCACGGTGGGAGCCAGTCGCTCGCCTTCATCGTTCCCGGCACTATCATCGTGCTCTCCGAGCTCATCGAGGCCAAGTTCAACTTCTCGAACTTGAAGAAGAGAAACCTCCACCATTTGCACATCTCTGTGCTGGCATTGGTGATGTCCATCAGCTTGACGTTGTTCCTGGTTGTCATCTTGAAGAATTGGATTGCCAGACCAAGACCTGACTTCATTGCCCGCTGCCAGCCAGATATCAAGAGACTCGTGGCTGGCAAGACAACATATGACATTAGTATCTGTACCGGTGATAGACAGGTGCTCCTCGAAGGTTTGCGCTCAACACCTTCCGGACACTCTGCCCTGGCTTATGCTGGGTTGCACTTGGTCAGCATTTGGATCTTTGTCAAGTTTGATATCTTGTCATCGTCAGTGCACTTTTGGAAAGTCATCATTGCCTCATTGCCAGAGTGGTTAGCACTGTGGATTGCCCTTAGCCGTACTCAGGATTACAGACACCATTTCGGAGACATTGTGATGGGTGGTGTCATTGGTGTGCTGATCAGCCATCTCGTTTGGTTCAAGATGTTTAAAGGGAAAGAGCCAGTTTACTTGGACAATGAGTCGGCCGACCCTGATATCGTCCTACCAGTATACAACACCGTTCAATGAGCAGAGCTCAACATAGACACTAGAGCTGGTTACTAAGAGGCCATGTGCCATAGAAACACTCATCAATTCAAAATCACAAAAAATTTATATATAAATATCACATTTAGCTTAATCGTATGTATATCCCTCTCGTTATATACTTCAATGTAGTGTAATCCCGATCTTATCATAACATTCATGAGATCTATTGTATCTATCAAACTGTATAGTAAAAACACAGATAGGCCCATCATTATCCGAGCCCTTTCTCTGTTGAAATTATGATTCGTTAATCAATTCTTTGAGTGTTCCTCTAAAGTTTCTCACATGGAAGTCGTCAACGTTACACTCTTCCAATTTGGTGTCGTTATTCATATCCAAGTTCATCAGGCCATTTCCAGGCTTTGGAACTGCACACAGCCAAATCCGTGTCTTGTAGATCTTGAACAGTTCTTTAATCAAATTGCGGAAATCTAACCGTTGAGATGAACAGTAGAAGAATGTCAACTTCTTCTGGTCAAATTGGTATTCTGATGACAGGATGGTCAAATTGTTGTTGAGTAAAGGCTGGTTTGATATCTTTAACAAGGACGTCTTGAAAGATTTGATCTCTTCAATCAGCTTGAACTGAAGGTTGCCAACTTCTTGGAACGTTGCAAAGCGCAAAACCTGCTTGGAAGGGATTTGGAACTGTGTTTCATCATCCAAGATACCTTGTCCCTTAACCAAGTCAGCAGCGGTATTGGAGATATCCAACCCGTTATTGTTGACCGTTCCACCATACGAGATAGATTTGGCATGCTGACGCTTCTTCAAATAGTTGATCAAGATAGCAAGGTCTAGGGATAACATAGGATCCAGCACATAAACCAAATCCTTTCCACGATCTCCATCAACGATAACAACATCGCCCTGTTGTAGCATCATGTTTGAGTTCATCGGCATGGACAGAATCTCATATTTACCAGATTTGGTTAAAACCAAGACCAGAGTCTTCATCAGACTGAACATGTTGTTCAGCTTCTTCAGGTTCATAACAACTTTCTGCAAGAAGCTTGAGGACTCCAGTTGGGAACGAAGTTCCAAGTACAGAGCATTGGCAGAGCTGGCGCAAAAGTATCTTGAAGTCTTTTGATAAGTCTGCTGCAGAGGCAACGAAGAAATGATGACACCAGCATTTAACAATAACCCATTATCCAGTTCCAGGATTTGTTGCTGTTGTTGTTGTTGTTGCTGTTGTTGTTGTTGCTGTTGCTGTTGCTGCTGCTGTGAAGGGAAGTACTGCTGCTGTAGCTGTTGCTGTGGAGGAGGAATGTACTGCTGTTGAGCCATAGGGTCCCAGCTGTATGCAGATGAAACCTGAATACTCGGTCTTCTAGACTGGAAGTTCACGAGGTTTGTGTGAGTAAACTGTTGTGGGATAAAATCCGCACTGAACTGGTCATTGTACTGTAATTTTGACTCATTGGCTGAGGACATCAACATCTGTTCAGCTGCAAACGACGGTCTACGAGAGTTGATGTTTGACACACCTCCTTGGAGTTCTGGAGGAAGGTGGAACGTGTAGTTCTCATGCTCGTCGTTGGTAAGTTGTTCATTGATCAGTGTCTGGCCGTCAAGAGAATGTACAAAGTTTGTGTACTGTGGTGACATTGACAGGCCATTTAGCTTGGAGATTAACAAGTCCGGGGACAGTGGCACGTCGCCGCTCTCTTTCTTCTCGAACACGTTCCTACCAAACGACGGGTTCCAGATGTTATGGCTCATTGTCTATTGAAGGCGTATTCTAATGGTCTTTTCTCCTTTGATCTCGTAGTCCTCTTCTTTCAAGTCTTCTCTAGTCTTTCTTTGATGACTAGCTTTGTTGTAATTCTTGGGGCTTTGATCATCAAGAAAGTTTTTCCCTTTTTTTATGTCTCCAGGTTTTCCTCTTTTCTTTTGCTTCCTTGGGTGTCAAGGGCCACGACTTGTGGGGAATTTGCTCCCCTGTTGCAAGTTGCGACTAACGTGGGGAAAATATGAGACCGCTGAAACACCGGTCGATGGTCAGGTGACCAAGATCACAAATCTATTGACCACTGATGACTTGACTGTCTTTGGTGATCACCGTGGTCTTGATCATAACGACCCATGGCCATGGAGATCAATGGTTCTTGTCTAGATAGTCCTATGTGATCGATTGTACGTCAAAGTCCCGGGTATAAATTTAACCACGTCATGGCCAAACACCTCCCAGCCCCTCGGTGGCGCTAATTTAGTCCGAACTTTGTATTTTAAACAGCATAGTAAATATAAACCACTTTTTGAAACGGTGTCCGCATGACACGTCCATAGAAGTTCAGACACACAATTGGATCCCTTTCGAAATTTCGTGTCACGCAAGGTCATGTAACCAACATTGTCCCGCTCAAAGACCCTCAGTTCAGACCAAATATAGCAGAGTTTCAATTGCCAGCGTAGCTGTGGTGTTAATAACAGGGCTACAGGAATTATTTAAACTGCAGAATTGGAACGAACGTAGAGACTCGTCACATTAAACTGTCACGAGTGAGATAACAACAGTAATTATGTCCAGCCACACATACCCGTTGTCTTATTAAATTGGCCTATCCTTTGTACGATATAAAATTAATTCAAAATTAAGAGTCTTTAAACAAATCTAATATACAGGGTATAACGCAGAACCCATATCTCTAATGTACAGAACTTGTCGTGTCTCATGCGCTGAACGCCAGTACGTTCTCTCTTGCCATGATGCGTTCAATTTCGTCAACAAGCGTCTTGAACGTCTTTGAAGAACCCTTCACTTTATTGAAGGTAACCTTGGAGCCTTTCTTGCCATGTTTTTCAACGTACACCTTGAATTGTGCACGATTGACACCAATGACGTTGTTCTTGGTGATCTCACCACTTATGGTCAGTTCAGTATCGTTGTTTGATAGTCTTCCCAGTCCGTAATCAGACCAGCCGTTGAGAAGTCTCTTCAAAGTCATATACATCTCGCTTGGATCATAAACAGTGTTCAAAGTCTTCTTCATTGGCTTGGAAGAGCCAGAGCTGAATATGCGGAAGAACGACGAACCACCTCTTCTGTCCAATTCATCCATCTCTTTCTTACCCTTTGACCACTTTCTAAAGAAAGAACCACCACTGACATTGCGCTTGTTCTCATCCTTGGTGATATCATCCAACGGCTTCTTATCTTTCGTTGAAGTTCTTGGTGCTTTAGGCAATGGTAATGGTGGAGCATCAGAGTCAACTGGCTGTTCATCGGAAGAATCTTTGTATAGCTCAAATCTCTGCTTCGGAGTCGGCAATGGTGACTTCTTCAACGTACCAGCCTTCTTGTCTGCAGCAGAAATCTTTTGCCCGAGAGAGCTATCATCAAGGTCTGGCAATGTTGGGAGGTCAATGTTCTTCTTCTGACCGTCAACAGGATCATCAACTTCCACAACAACAACCGGAGCCCCATCTTTTGGTTCTGAACTAGTGCCTTCGTCATTGCTCTCCAATGCAGTCAATCTATCAGCAAAGCTCATTCTCAAACCTTTAGAAGCAGTAGATTCCTCAGACTCAACAGCAGCTGGTTTAGTTTCAGCAGTCTCTTCTCTGATCTCCTCTCTGATAGTTTCCTTCAGAGGTGGAGCATCGACAACACCTCTTGAGGCCTCAGCTTCTTGTAAATTATGTAACTTCGAAGCAAGATCTTTATATGAGGCCTTTGTAGAGTAGATAGACAACACACTCAATCTCTTATTGGAGGAAGAATAGAGCCTAGATTTTCTGGTAACTTGTGGAATCTTAACGTCTGCTATCGTCTTTGGTCCATCCCATTGTACGCCTTCAACAAGGGCATCAGGCTGCGAAGCGTCAGGTTCACCAGAAGGATGGTTAAAATCAAAGTCCTGGTTCTTCTTGATGATAGAAGCACGTTTTATGCTCAGATCATATTTGGAACCGAGGAACTTAGACCTACGGATTGCCTGTGTAACAAAGTCATTCTCGTCATAGAGCACCTTTGACTGTCTCCAATCCTCTGCGTTGAAGTTGAGGCCCGGATCCAGCTTAGACTTTGGTCTTGTCTGGAACGGATTAGTAGTAGCACGCTTCTGAATCTTGAGAATCTCATCACGATCAAGCAACTGCGAAGCTCTAGATTGAGGGCCAGAAGTGGAACGAAGCTTTGCGTTTTCGAGCTTTGGTTCATGATCATACTTATCGTTTTCATCACTCTGTGAGACAAGCTTGGCTTCAGCCTCAGCTTCAGCTCTTCTCTTGGCCTCAGCTTCCGTTCTAGCATCAATCTCAGCTCTTTCGTGTTCTCTGATCGCTCTCTCTTCCTCCTCAATTCTCAGCTGTTCCAGCCTCTCTTGTTCTCGCTTGGCTTCCAGTTCAGCTTGACGTTTAGCTTGTTCCAGTCTCATCTGTTCGTACTTCTCGTGTTCGAAGATCTCATCACAGAGTGTAGCGAAATCCGAGCTGGCCCTTTTAGCTTCTTGGTCAATGTAAACCCATTCGTTATCATTGGCCAGCTTCGAATACACAGAGATCAGCTTTGTAGTGATGGAGGAACGTTTGTTTGGAAGCAATGAAGCTCTCACGGAACGTCTCTTACTGTTGGAGGTGGCACCGGCAGTAGAAACAGCAGCAGCACCCGTGGAAGCACCCGTAGCAGCTTCATAGACATGACGTGGAACAGGAGGTTGATTCTCGTCAGTGAAAGGACCAACGGATTGACGCTTTGGAGATTGACGTTTCGGAGAGTCCGTCAAAGATTTGCGCTTGTTGTTGAAAGATACAGACTTTCTATGCGATGAGGACGCAGAGATCAGCGAACGTCTGTTCTTCTTCGACTTGAACGACGTTGAAGAGGAAGCAGTAACGCTATTTCTGAGGTTGTTGTTAGTCACTGACTTTGCAATGGACAACGATCTGATCAGTGACGAATTCGACTGGTTGTGTCTATAACGGAGCAAGAGGAAGTAGAAGATCTTCTCCGTGGTGGATTCCGGTGTCAACAGGTTGTCAATGATCTCAGACTTGTCTCTACCATGCCATAGGATAACCAGGTTACGCAGGATCGACTCATCGATATCCTCACGTCTAGCAATCTGGTTGAGATAGCTGTTTGGATTAGGCAATTCCTTCATGGTCTTCGAGTCAACAGGAGAGATTGGGTACTTCTGCAGCAATGGATGTTCTAACACTTTATGGGTCTTGATTCTGTTATCCGGATTGATACACAGCATCTTTGAGATCAAATCCTGAGCCTCCTTTGATAGCTCTGTTGGCATCTCGAAAACACCACTTTGCACCTTTAACAACAAGCTTCTAATGTTCTCGTCGTCAAATGGCAATCTTCCTGTTAGCAGGGCAAAGAGAATAACACCGCACGACCACACATCGCTTTCAAACCCATGGTATCTCTTACCGGAAACAATCTCAGGTGCAGCGTAGTGAGGCGAGCCACAACTCGTCTCTAGCAGTCTATCGTTGTTCTCCAAAGCAGCCATGCCAAAGTCAGCCAATTTGACGTTGAGATCGTGGTCCAGCAACAAGTTCTCCGGTTTCAAATCTCTGTGACAGATACCCAGGGCATGGCAGTAGGATGCACCCATGATAATCTGTCTGAAGTAGCGCACAGCCTCCTCTTCGCCCAGCGGGCCCCTTTCAACGAGCAAGTCGAACAACTCACCACCTTCGACGTACTCCAAGATCAAGTACAACGACTTCGAGGTCTCCCAAACGTCGTACAGTCTCAGCACGTTTGGATGGTTGAGAAGCTTCATGATGATTATCTCTCTTTCGATTCCGTACGCCAAACCAGCAGCATCGCGTCCCTTGTCATCAGCCTGTTCCAACGAGTTCAGAACGCTCTTGGAGATCACTTTAACAGCTGCCCTTTGGCCGGAGTTCACGTTCTCTGCCAGTAGGACACGGCCAGTGGAACCAGCACCCAGCGTCTTCCCAAGACGCCATGGCCCTATCTTGTTAATCTGTGATGTGTTGTTGTTGAACGTCATCGACGATAGAAGCGATGATGCCACACTTGGCTGTCGAGAGTGGTATGACATTGTAAGTCTGTTCTTGCTTCTCTTCTATAGACAAACCCAATTGGAATGAAATGAATGAATATCGGGGGTTGTTCCAGCGGAATACAAGTGCTTCTTGGAGAGAAAGAAACTCAATTGGTAGCTTCAAGAAGGGAACTAAGAAGGGAACTTCGAAGAGTGAAAAAAATACAATGTCTTGATGAAGGGGTTTTTTGGAAAGAAAAAAATGAGTAAGCTGGCATTCCCATATATCATCTACAATTCATCGATGCGTTTCTTTCAAAGGGGGTGTCTTATAACTCACATAGCGCGTTCCATATTCCTAAAAGGGTACCATTGGTGTTCCTCTTTTGGATGAGAATGCAGTTCGACGCGTCGCTTGCACCTTCGATTCGTTTCAGAGGCCCAAAGTGGAAGGATTAAAAGTACGCGTCGTCCCCCGTTTTCGCGTTTTTGAACAGGGCTTTTATTCTCGTTTCACGTGTGCATTACATAAGCAGATTACTAAGAGCTTATGTAATACTCACGTGACCCAGCTTTCTCGCAAGACACACCCAGCCCGGTAACCTGTGCTATGAAACAGGTTCACATCTTAGGGATAGGGACGTCAGCTCTGGAACGGTGTGTAAAGGTGTCTACATCGGGGTACAGCAATCGTAAACTATTAAGCCTTTATTTTCAGTTTCTGTTACAATCAGAAAAAGCCTCCAGTCTGTTGTTGTGTTGCTGCCGTTAGTAAAACGCGTTGGCCAATGAGCAAAGCGTATGGAAGAACTACTCACCTGTTCCTGATGTGCCTCAATCACATCACCGTCCTCTAGGTCTAGGTCCTCCGGGGTTTGTTCGCCGTTGATTCTGTCACCTTCGCTGAGGAATCTGATCGACTCCAGTGACTTGCCTTGTCTCTTAGCAAACGCCTCCATCAGTCTCTTCAACGGCGTGCTTCTCTTGATCTTGAAGAAGATCTCAGAGTTACCGTCAGTCACCTTAATGTTCAAGTGGGTATCTGACTTGATCACAGGCTTCTCATCCGCCTGGAGATCTGGCTTGACATCGTGCTGTTCCTCAGACATTCTCGGTTTCTATCTCTATTCAGTGAACTCAACAGTGGTTGCGCCTAGAATGAGAAAGCGTTGGTGGTGGCGCGTGGGAGGTTACTTTTCTGTGTTTTTCCTCTTTGCCTGTCGTCACTCTCACAAGGGCAGGGTAACCCTTTAGAGGATGGCGGGAAAGCATGGGCGCTCTAAGCGTTATAGGGCTCGCTAAACGGGTTCAACACCCCTTGTGCCTCCCCAAGTGTATTGGTCAAGCTGAGAAATGAAGATGATGTGACGCTGGTGAGCGTGACGGGCGTTGTTGGGCTGCGACGACGCTGCGCATGGTTGTCGTATGAGTAGCCGTATTCTTTCCTCTCCAGATCTGTCAGTTCTTTGGGGTAGCTGATGTATAACTTTTCTGGTGGTGTTGATAGCTCGGTGCTATGCTTGAGGTCATACCAGCTGTAGAGGACGCCTATTATCACCTGTGATATCCAGATGACGAGCAGCGCTACGGAGATCCAGAGCTCGATCATTAACGCTTCTCTATAGGAGTCGATCGTGAGATCAAGCAGCGAGCGCAACATGCTCTTTGCGGAGTCAAGCATAGAGCTCGTCTGCCTTACCAGCGAGGACTTTTCTAGAAAAGCCGTTGTAGAGTTAGAGCACACGGTACCATTCGACGTAGTGCTGAGATTGTGCGTATAAGCCTCATTGCCGTGATACGTATTGTTGCTCAACGGGGTTGTGGAGTTGGTTCCGTTGTGATACTGGCATTGATGCAGGTTGCTTGTATCGTCTTCAGTTCCAAATGCCTTCAACAGATACTCCTCATTAACCCTCGGGAATGTAACTTCTGCGTGGTCATAGATCCACGTCAGTCCTTCCTCGACCCGAACCAACTTATCTTCGATAACACATCCAACCACGGAGCGCACTGCATCGTACAAGATGGTGTCGTTGAATAGTTCATCAATTGCCGTATTCATGTCATCAACAAAATCTGATATGGTTTCATTCACGCTCTCTGCAATTTTCCTTACGCCTGAGAATAGCTGGTCGTTCATATCGTCCTCTGCATTATCGAGGTAGTCGTTGGTTGAATCAGTCCAGTCAGAGATCGAAACACTTACCTTGTTTGCTAGCTGACTAGAGATATCCTCAAATGGGGTGTCTGTCCCATTGATGACGCCTTGAACCTGGTCCAATACCAAGAACTGTACAATGACCAAGATAAAACCAGCCAATGATAAGCATAGCACAGTTGAGGCCCTTTGACTAAAGACGTAAGAGGTGAACCACTTTACCTGTATATTCGTCTCCTCGGTATGTGTGATCTTGGACGCGATTAGATTACCTGCCTTCGTGGGATACTTGTTAAAGATGGTTTCGTATGTTGTAATTGGATCATGCTCATCCTCTGTGTCTTCCTTTAGCATCTGTAACTTCTTCCAGTGACGATAATCTGAGTACATCTCTGGTATGATCACGAGGATTGCAATGACAATGAACAGTATTACGAATGCCAACACCAGCTTATGTACGAGTCCCGATAAACCTTTGTAAAACTCCACAATGGAATCCTCATTGTTAGAACAGACTGGGAAATCCTCCAAATCGGGAACGTACAGGCTTTCTCCATCATTATCGAGTATAGTTGCATTCTCTAGCCTATTCTTAACGTACTCAAACGGCTCCCTTATGAGATCCTGAGCCTTGTCAAGCACTTCATTAAAGTCGGGTGCCTTATCTCTCAGGGCTTCCAACTTGTCATACACAGAGCTCGGAATCTGTAAATCTCTTAGCTTTCCCAGTGTTAAGTTCACTTGGTTAATTGTATCGTCGATATCTCCTTCGTCCTTGTCGCCAGTAATGAAATCAACAGCACGATCGACTGCGCCTAGGAAGTCGTTGATGTAGCCAGAAATGTCCTGCAGTCCATCTTCTACCTCCTCAGTTGCAGTACCGAGGGTGTCGTTGACCCAACCTATCACTTCTCCAGATGTGTCAATTGCGACATCAACGACAGCATCAACAGCTGATGTTAGGAGACACGTGTATGTTCCAAGCATCAGCTCTAAGGCAAATACAATCAGGTTTTCTGCTATGGTTAGCGTCATCTGTACTGAGTCCACTGTTGCGTCGTTGATCCCCTCCACGGATCTTTCAATCAGGTGGTTTGCGGACCTGGAGAGGTAATGAGGTATTGAAACAACATTACTTGCTAAAGAATCTACCGTTGAACACGAGCTCAGCGTGTAGTACTGTGCAGTTTGCAGCGAGCTCTTCAGACTAATCCCAAATATGAACAGCTTAATCGCCATGAGTATAAGTACGATTGTGTATTTGTTTAACCACACCTGTGAGAGCCTTGCCTTGAGTTTTAGATACGCAGTAGTAGCCATTTGTATGATCTAGCAAAAGAGCTCATCATAGTACAAACAAAAGGTACAAAATAACAACGATGGTTGTGGTGTTTAAGTAAGACAGAACAACCTCTAATGGGCCGGTTTTGGCTTGGTTTCAGGTCTATCGGCTTGAAACAAGAGACATATGCCGGACGACGCGCATGACAATTCTCATACATTTGTTGTAAAAAAAAAGACTCAGATATTAGCAAATCGCTGAATATTCAACTATCGGAGCAGTCTAATCTTATCACGTCCATTTAATCAGATCAATTCTATAGTGCACTGCTAGTGCTCTGGTGGTTTTTGCTTGTCTGGGTTGCAACTGATGGTGATGGCCCTGCAGGTTTACGACGCAGCCCTCGAAGAAAACGTCTGCGGAGTTAGGTGATCTTGCGACAATGGCAGCAACAAGTGAGACAGCCTAGCACTACGAGGATTTCCTCTAGGCCAGGAAAGAGCCCTAGCAAGACCGTTGGCTAAGAAGGCTTGGGCTAAGAAGGCTTGGGCTAAGAAGACTTGGGATAATATGCATTTGGAAATATATAGTTAAAGGCATGTGAGTGCCACATTCCATGAGAACTAAAAAGAGACAAAAGGGGAGGAAACAGAGACAGGCCCTTCCGTGGCCATTGTGCCGGTACAGTACACAGAGGAAGAATATAAAAGTAAAACATGACCCATGAGAATGTGGTGGTTAAATGAATATGAGGTGTGACGTTCAGACAGATGCTCTACCAGTAGATGCCTTTGGGGGATACTTCGTATCAGTGGTCTCATCCATTTGGTTGTGTCTGCAAGTACACCAGTACTTCTTGTCAGTTTTGTCCATCACTTCAGGGATATGTTGGCCACATCCGGTCCAGCTCTTCTTGTCTATAGTCCAATGTTAGACATGTGCTCATCAAAAGAACAGGGGGGAGCGCACACTCCGGCCGGTTGCGATAGACAACGATACAACTTCGGAGTTGAAATTGTATGGGCTGTCTCGACATGCCGAAGCCAACGAGGAGTACTCACTGCAAAGTCCGCAAATTGAAGTTTGACACATGGTTAATTATCTGAGTATCGAGATTGTATTGAGGCAAAGGTTTAAGTTCCTATGGGGAATAAAATCAAGTGGGAAAGGTTTTACAAGAGATCACAAGAACGAAATTCCTATTTATACTTTCTAACGCGAGGAAGCTCTCACGAGATCAAATGATCCCATTGGAAACAGCCTGTGCCATTCCTGCTTTCAGGTGTATCATCCCATTTGATGCGGTTGGAAAAGTCCGGGGTAAAACAAACAAAGTCACGAGCTAAGCAGTGATACCGAAGCCGTTGAGAGAATCCACTGGCTGAACGTGACGGGCGCCGGGGGATCAAAGTGGGGGTCACACACCTTTGCAAGACGGGACGATTCCGGAGAAACTCGTAAGCAGAAGTAGAGATGTTTGGGTGTTTGGGTGTTTGGGTTATTAGGTGTTGGGTTATTAGATGTTTGGGTTATTAGATGTTTGGATGAGTTGACCTTTGCAGATTGATACTTATACAAATGCTGTTTTATATATGGGGGATTAGTGTACATAAAAGCGCTAAAATCACACAATTGAGACATCAGTAGATTCCCCAAGCGTCTTCACATCCAAAGCAGAACTTGGAGCATGCCACACTGGCACTCAAAGGATAGTCACTGAGTCCAACTTTCTCATCGATGAACTCATCGGCAAAGCTATCTTTACCTCTGGCCATCGCACCGACAAACACGCAAATGCTCTCATCCTCGTCCAGCTTGGCAACGTAATCTTGGACTCGAATCAGTGGGGCGTCGAAGGAAAGAGTGACTTTCTTACACTTCGTTGGTAAATGGTCTGTAATGGGGTTCTTGATCACCTTCAACAGCTTCTCCTCAGAGTTGACGGATTTGATACTCAACTTGTGCAACAGTTGAACCATCAACCCACTAAATCTCTTGAAAGTTCTTGGAATACGCACACTTGGATTCACCTCTATAAGGACTCCTCTGGCAGTGTGGATGTACACCTGTAGTCTGCCAGCTTTGTTAATTGGGGAATCGAGTAAAGACAACAGACACTGGTGTGTGATGTCCGGTCTAGCCTCAGAGATATCTCTACCCATCTTCTGCAGAAGACTCTGATGATCGTCACAGTTCAACAGAGCATACTTATCATGTCCACTTCCGTGTCCAGACGAGATCTTGTGAGTTTCAAGACACGCAGCACTGAGCACAACGATCAGTCTCTGTGTGTTCTTATCCTTCGAGGACAAAGCCTGTGGTTGTTCTGGAACAAGCGAAGCTGGTAGCACTTCCTTCGTACTCTTCTCTCCTTTAGCCATCTTGAATATCTATTTCGTCTGGTGGTCAGCTACCTGGGATAGAAATACAAACAGAAAACAGATCAAAACAGAACACACCACCCTGTGACCAGCTGCTTTGTATTGTTCCTCTTCTTCACTCAAGTGAGATGGCATCGGAAGAATTTTTCGTCAGTGCAGCGAACAGTGAACTCAGGATGGAAAACATCCAGACACCACACGCCAGGACAGTGTACATGAGCTACCTCACAATGGCAGCATGCTATGTATACAGAGAGGATAGGAGTTGTATTTGTTGACGATGTTGAGGATTACGGAGGATGATTTCGGTTCTGACTTTTCGGACGATGACGACGATGATGAGTTTCTAGCACTGACTCTGAAACCCACGGGTAAAGCCATAGGTGAAGCCACAGGTATACCAACCGTTGAGAGTGGAGATCAAAGCCATGGCGGTGTTGTAGATCACCATGATGGTAGCAATTCTTCAGCGATGCTTGCGGCCAAGGGGGAGATTGCTATTCTCCGAGCCAAGTTAGAGGAACTGAATAATAAGACGCACCAGGAGTATGAAGAGATGGTGAGGACAAATGCACAGAAGCAACAAGATCAGACAAGTAGGATCGAACAACTGCAGGAGCTAGTTAAGAAGCTGGAGTCTGAGAAGAAGTTCTTAGCGGTGGAAATGAGGAACCTTAGCCATAAGAAGAGAAAAAGGCCACAGGATGACTCATTCACGCGAGTGGAGAATGAAGGCGAAGAGAAGACCGCTACACCAGAACCTGTAACACCGGCATCTGTGAATACATCCTCCACAGTCAGTGCAAACAAAACAGGACAGTCTATATCGGCGGCTCCTCAACAGCAGAGATCTGAGCCCGTTAAGCTCACTCCAGTCTTCAAAGATGATAATTCTCTACTGATAGATTCCATATTGGCATACACGATCCCCTCTACCTCAAAGCCAGTTGTTGAGATGCTGTCAAAGGTGGCATTATCGTGCGATTTTGAACTTAACGGGTTTTTAATTCCTCAAGGAGAACCGCTGAAGGCCCATCTGGTAGAGTTCTTACTCAGGTATAGACCCGTGTATCGTATTGATGCTTATGTGACAAAGATCACTCACTTCATTTCACAACTGGCGATCCACCTTTTCAAAGGGCAGAAGCATTACCAAAGATTCCCAATACCTTATTTGCTGGCATTGATACACGCAACGATATTGTTCAAACCATCTACAGTGACTAAGAACACAACAACAGAGCTCATAGAGTCGCTGTATCCATTTCTGATCAAACTTCATACGGAGATCAAGCCCTTAGAAGTTGTGTCAGAGCAATACATCCGGCACAAGAGAGTAGGCGTGTCCGGAGTCCAGTTTGAAATGGTGGACCATTTCATCATGGTGTTCACCTGTGATTTAATCGAGTCTCTACTCATGATTTCCATGAATGACCACGAACACATAAGGAACGTTGTGAAGTCAGCAGGGCTGTTGAAGTTTATGAATCATGCTATGAACCAAGGCTCTAATCTTAACATTGTCATGAGTGTTTGTAATTGGCTCACGTGCATTGTGGAGGCATACAATGGTCAACAGAGTCCTCTGTCAGAACATGACATCAAGCATTTGACTCAGATCGTAGAGAATGGCGTGGCGATGAGGCAGAACTGGCTGTTCCACGGGCTGAACAGGATCATTGGTAACAACTTTGAAAGCCAACAATTGGAGGCCCTTTTAGGAACTGGAGTTACCGATTGTCCACAGGTAATATACTCGTTGACACCTGTCAATCAATTTCCACTTGAGCTTAAACATGAGAAGCACTTATTACAAGTACAATCGCTTATTGTTTCGTTATTCACAAAGCTTATAGTCCTGACCCCAAATTCAATTACACATTTCAACGATCGACCTGATATCTTCAGATCACTGGTGTTCTCCATTGGGATTTTGCAGGAGCGTATACACGCAATTCCAAGGTCTCCAACCACGCACATCAGAAGCGGATTAATATCATCTCTCATTCGACTGATACACTTAATATGGGAAGTAACGACATCTGCAGGCGACACGACACCGGCTCTGACGAAGGACACGATCCACGTCCTCATGATCGTACTTGCTCGTGTTGCATTCAGTGCTAATGATTCGAGCAAGGAAGCTCAAAAGTTTTTGCTAACTATGAAGCAGGAGGACACTCTATCCCCAGTATTCAATCCATGGGCAGAGCGAAGGGCACTACAACTAATCCACATTGACGTTACCAAGCAGGATAATGTACAAAAGGATCAGAGCAAGATTCAAAGCATTGTTGAGGCACAAGTTGGTTTTGGTAATGGCGTGGAATTTGCCTATGACGATGACGTTGTTGAATGTGCTCGAGACATCTTGGAGAAATGCACTACGATGGATGAAGTTGACGCCCTGTATATGGCTATGAATGTTGTTGAACCAAACCAAAGAGATGAGGAAATGATAGACATATAAAGGTATCTCTAAACGTGGGATTAAGTATCGTTAAGAATTGACATTAGATGTAAGCCTAAATATTCGAGTTGTACCTGGTAGGATATTCCGGTAATACACTTGACAAAAAACGTAAATGATTTTCCATTTTATTACAAATACAACCCTTTAATGCTCAACTTAAGCAGCCAATGGCTTAGCAACACCGGATTGGAAACCGTTCTTAGCTCTTCTAGCAACGTGCTTCAAGTATTGCATACGACCGGAACCGGTAGTTCTTCTTCTCTTAGCCTTCAAAGCCCAGTTGTGGGATCTCAACTTAGCAGCTGGGTAACCACAAGAAGCACAGGTCTTCTTTTGGATGTGGAAAGAACGACGACCACATCTGTTACACAAAGTGTGGGACTTGTTGTGACGCTTACCGAGAGATGGAGTACCCTCTGTTGGTGATATAGTTAGTATCTCATTTGAGAAACAATCTTGGTAGATCGTAGGTCCGCGGTTGTTTGCAAAGCTCTTGATACTTGACTTTTGGTTTCATTTGTGTTCCAGGATTGGATTGATGTCTTTCCGGCTTAGTCTTATGAAGGGTGCTAGGTCAACTCCGATAGTAGTTCATCTTAGCAGTGTAAAACAATACTGTACAAGTTGCGCTGAAAAGTCAACACACCCACTGATATCTCTGTTTTCGCTTCAATGGGACCATACACCAGCTACCTTCTTTCACCTTCATCGTTGATTTAAACACTTTTCACACTTCATGAACACACATTGCAAGACACACAGCTTCCTCGTTAAGGCTTCAAATAACAGATATTCGATTACGGCAACTATCACACTTTGCAACAAACCACTTCTCTAGTAGGACCTTCTACTTACTACCCATGTTTGCTAATTTGTGTTGTGAATGTACTTCTTCAAGACTTCTGAAGCTTGTTTAGCGTTGTGTTGAAGATTTCGTTTTTTTTTCAGTGGTTGACCACCCGCCAGCGTACTGGGAAATTTTTCTTAGAGGTGTCTGGATGTTCCGCCATGTTTGTTGTGCGGATGGGAAATTTGTGACTGCGTTTTTCACACGGGCAGTGGCGCTGTGCGGTAGCGGACACATGCGTCTCATGTGGTGTCCGGGTGCATAACTCAGCTCAGAGCCCTGCACAAACGGGAATTGCAAAGTTGGAGCAGCATTCAGAAGTGGCGTAAAGTTGGCGCTGTGGCCCGATGTGGTTTCCGCCATTTGGCACACAACGTCTCTAAGAGGAATTGCGAATGTTGTATACCACCGACCAAAACTGGATTGAAACAATTGGCGAGATCCATCCACCATTGAACGTGCTCAACCACGGTTTGAGAAGTATGGAGATCATAGTTGGGCCAGGTTTACACTTACACCCAGACATCTGGTGGGATAACTTGACGTGTTTTCTATATAATCTCCACACATAAAGACCTCTTTCTACGCTGTGATTGTTTGTATGTGTGTGTGTGCTTGCGTGAAACGCGCTCCGAAATTCTCAAGCGCGTCTTTCGCCAAAATGTAAACAAACCCATACACACCGTCGCGTCATTCAAGGATAACTGGGAAAAGTGTAGAAAAAACCTGGATACCCGTCTTGTAAAGAAGAAGTTGTTTACGTGAGATAGGGATAACAAAGATAACAAGAGAGGACAGACCATGTCGACTGAGTATCCACCATCTTCACCTTTCCTAGCCGCTGTGCCAGAGAGTGAGGACCAACTTCAGGATGACCCATTCCACTCATTCTCCGTCCCATCCAAGAAGCTCGTGTTGAGCACTCCGTTCAACAAGGAACACAAGAACGCTGTCAAGGCAGAAACGTTCCCAACGCCTAACCCATCTTCCAGTGCTGGTGCACGGGACCAGGACCAAGGGTCCAGCTCACCTCCGAGAACTGAGACTGCTGTTGCTGCTGAATTGCTTCAGCACCCGTTGATCAGAACTGAAGTTGACTTCCAAGAAACACCAGATAGCAACTCCCATAAGGTTGTCAATACCCAAAGACCGTTGAAAGTGCTGTTGTACCCGAATGAGAAGGTTACCCTCGGTAGATCTTCCCGCTGTGACTACTTCATGAAGTCCAAATTCGCGTCGCGTGTTCATATTAAGTTGCAGTACAGCAAGGAACACGATGAGTTGACAGTTTTCTGCAAAGGCTCCAACGCTCTCTACATTCAATTCCATAAGCAAATCTTTGGCCGTATAGTCAAGGATAGCGAGGATGTCTATTACATCGAGACCAAGCCATCGGAAGACTGTGATGACGATGAGGTGTTTACCGAGATTAAGGTCGTCACCGGCGAACAGTTCACTGTTCCATACGATCCAGAGTTGACGATTAGAGTCATGGATTATCAAATCATGGTCGATGTTACCAGTGATGAGTCTGAAACAGAGGACGAAAAACCAGTGTTGAGTAAGTCACTAAGCCACATTGAGCCAACCCAACAGATGAAGGAGGTTGAGCCAGATTACTTACAAACACCAACCGATAAGTCTACCAAGTTGAGCAAAGTCGACGCACCAACCAAGTGTGTCTCCAAAACCACCACTCCGATCTTGAAATCTTCTGTCTCTGAACAATCTGCACACTCATCGTTCGACGGTTCCTTGACTCCATCAAACAAGGTCTCGGAAGCTAAGAAGGAGCGCACACCTCTACAACCAATGAGTGCCAATGACCTGAACAAGGAACAACAATCAAAGGCAGCAAACCATGAAGTGAAAAATAGACGCGTTCGTAAAGCTGAGCCTGGGTTGTCCCCAGTCAAGAAGAAAGTTGATCGTTTACAACCACGTGAAAAGATTGAATCTATGAACATTGAACAAATCTTGGAAACAGTGGAAGAGGTTGACTCTATCCAGAATGTTGTTACAAACCATTTGGCATTTTCAAGGCTGTCACAGACCCCATTAGCACAATTGCAGACCGTTTCTGCATCGACACAGAATTTGACCCGTCAGCAGTTGAGAGCTGTGCTCGCAGCTTGTCCACATATTGGTGTCATTTACCGTCGTGGTAAGGACGCCGCGGGCAAATACTTAGACGAGGAGTACTACTACGACGTGGAGAAAGACGCTGACGAGGAAAGGGTCAAACTCGTTAATACCGTGAAAGGTGGTGGTTTAAGAAGTTGCAGAAAGACTCACAAGCAGTACTTCTGGAAGAAACCAGGTGCTTCTAAGAAATAAGCTAACAACGGGAGTCCTGTTATGAAACATAGCATTCTCGCTAGTGTCCTATTGTTGTGTATGTGTTTTTATTAGCGGTAGCCTGTTTGTATGGTTTTAATCATTTGACATTTGCATATATAAATATTACCTGTTGTACGTCTAGCCATAACTAGACCACCATGGACTGCAATAATAAATGAGATGGATTCACGAGGTGTCTCCAGGACATGCAAGGCCCAAAGGGGTACCATTAAAGCCTAATCGACGCTATTATTAATTCAACTCTCCATCCATAAACAGTGAACACTGCACACGACAAGTAAAAAGGTACCGCCTCGTGCCCAGTGAATATTCCAAAGTGTAAACAACGTTGCGTCAGCCGTGTCCCGTTATGGCTAAGAATTACTGTGGAAACGGGTTTTCATGTGGTTCTTACCATAATAATTTCCCGATTGGGTTTGTTTACATTACTTTCTGGTAGCAGAGTGCAGCCGCTAATTTTTTTCCCTCTCCCTCTTCACACTTCATATTAAACCCAATAGACAGAGCCTCTTTGTTGTACTTGAAGGTTTATAAAGAGTTGGGATATTACCAGTTGGCTCAGAGCTCCAACTTCTTTTTGAGAGGCTTCCCCCTGGTTGTTTTGGATCTGCTGCTGGTGTTTTGCGCTATTGAGGTCTGAAAGATATGTCCATAACTCTGAGGGATATCGAGATCCACAGAGGTCGACTTGACGATCTAACGTCAACGATACTTTCAAAGTCGAACCGTACTGTGCAGATGATCGAAGAGAATATGAGGCTCACCTATGAGCTGAGGACGAGCTCTTCTTTTATCCCGTCGTTAGATTCTAAGGTTGAGAGTCTCAGTGCGAAGCTCGCCCATTATCAGCATCTACTTACACAGTTGAACTCATTACTTATACGAAGCGAATTCTTTGAAAAGCAGTTACAGATGTATGAGGCGCAACAGAGAGCCAATAAGGCGCGATTACTTGATAGCACGTGTGACTGTGGGCAGATCAGGAAGGATGACGAACTTAATTGGAAGACAAGCGAAGCAACACTGGAGAACCTCTGGCTCGAGTTCAGATTTCTCTCCAGAAAGATCGATTCAGACTTCAATTCCAAAACGTATAATACCTCAACGATCACTGCAAGATCGAATGCTCCTATAGAATCATCGCCACTGACCCCGTTACGAACAACTAATGAAGCACCTGAGGAGCCCATGACATTAAAACCGATACGGTGTGTATCCAAAAGAGAGAAGAGCAAGAGAAGGTCATTGAACTTGAACTTGTTGAACTATTCGCCCAGTATGCTAAACAATCCAATGATGCTTACACCAGACTCTTCATTCAACACGGCAAATATATTTTCAGAGAGTTTCCAACATGATCAGGGAGAGTCCTTGTTCACAAAAAGTGACGACAATGAAGGACAAGTGTTGAAGATTGAGACTCCTAAGAAGCCATGTAAATCTTCCGAGCCCATTCATATCATCTCTCCGTTATCTCACAAATCGAATGAAAGATTGTCACCTCTTTCGAAGCGTAAGAGATCGAATTCTGTGCCGCACTCGATATCATCGCTGTCACTCACGCCTACGACTGGTGGACCAAAAACACCTATAAACGCTTTTTTAAGACATGCTGTTTCATTGGAGGCTGGTCTTGCCATCAAAAAGAGGCAACAATCCGTGGACGGCGATGTCACAAAAGATACTCAGTGGTTAAACTCACCAGTTATGGAGAGTACCTTCATTTCAGATGTGAAAGGGAGCCAAGATATTGGACTCATCACCCCCAATATCACTCCTGACAACTCTGTGGTTGTTTTCCCTGAGTCCAAAGGAGATGAATACGATGTTGCTTGTAAAGGGGATATCAGCTTGCAGAACTTGCTCAACGACTCCTTACGGAAGATTCCTGAACCACTATGCAATGAGGCTGACTTGCCTGCACAAGAATCGTCAGAAGCTTTAGATCCGCTGCCAACATTCTCGCATCGTTTGAATAGATCCAACTCTTGCGATTCTATCTTCTCCTCGATGACCACTAGGATCCCGGTACATCCATTGAGAGACTCCAAGACTCAAACTATGAGCTGGATGCAAAAGTTCTCAAGTGGGAACCAACGTGTTTCTGCAAAGCCTACCAATGTTACTACACTTTCAGTGAACAACTTGTCCATCTCTAGAAATAGTGACCAGACTACTAAAGCTGCACTTTCAAGTCTTGTTGCACAATCAGCCAAGCCGGAACGGAGTAAGGCAACGTCGAATGGGTTCTCATTTTGGTTTGGCTCAAAGAAGGCACAACCATCAACGGGCACAGTGAGATCCACCACTGCTAATACCAATAAGAACAACAGCCCATTTGCTAACCACACATCCACAGTTGCATCATCACCAATACCTATATCATCAGCATCAGCGGCCACGTCACACAAGATCCATAATAGGTATGAAACCCTAGAGACCTCAAGGCCTCAGAAGCCTTCCGAATCGCTCTTCTCCAGGTTCAACGCACAAACTTTCATCCCTTCTACATCTCTCGTCACTAGAGAGGTCGGCAGACCCGTTAATGAGTCACATAGAGGGGGGCCACTGAGGAAACCACACATGGCCATGCCTATAAAGGGAAGCTTCTCCACACTAACCATCGGTGCTAACAGAAGTGCTACAGTACAACACGGAGAAGGCTCTGTGCTGCTCCAATCATCGGTTGTCACCAGCCAAATCAGTCACGCTGCCCTTGAAGATGCTCTCAAGAGTGAATTCGAATTCGACTGACCTTTCCGTATAAGTTTCTAATCAATTTAATCGAGTATTACTTATTTGTATCTGTTTTGGTGTTACCACGGCAACCAAAGTTACGCGGTGTAAAAAGCTTTTTGCTGAAGGCATCGCGCTTCCGCGATTTGTTTTATGAGCGCGTTTCTCTTTTGGCGGCTATGGAGTTCACAACAACAACAACAACAGCAACAAAGGTTCCAAAGACTCTAAGCACCCGAAGATACAGACGATAAACACCAAAGCAAGGCAATGGATCTTTTGGATGAGTTAAATATCCAGCCAGCGAGGGCGAGAACCTTCACCAAACATGTTGATATCCAGGAAGCAGAGTTTCATTTTGAATCTGATGACGATGGTTCAAGTAAAGATAGTGATGGTGAACATGAAGGTGAAGTCTTTGCACAGCAGCCCGATGCCTTGGCAGAAGCACTTGCTAAAGTGAAGAGACGCTTGAATGGAGAGGCTGCTAGTGAAGATTATCATGAGGAGGAACACGAACATTTAGACGACTCTGAGAAGGATATAGGTGACAGTGAAGTGGCCACACAATCTGAGCAGTATGATCAAATAGAAGATACACAGCGCATTGATGCGGCTAGTGTAGCTACTCAGAAGATATTCGATGAACGTGTATCTACACCTGGTGATGAAGATGATGTTGAGGATGGGACGTTTCCATTGCACCCACATCGTCATTTCAAGAAGCCGTCATTGTTTACACAGGAAGATGACGACGATGACGACGACGACGATGAAGATGGCAATCTTCCTTTGAATGCTTCGTTGATGCCAACAATCAGATCTACTGAATCTAAAGAACCCATTGGCTCCAAACTTGCTAACATGACGGTTCCTTCTTCTCCTCCAACGCAACTACTGAAGACACATAAGCTCTTTGTTGAAGAATCCGAGGATGAAGACGAAGAAGAGGACGACACCGGTGATATTGGCGAAACACAGCAAATTGCACAAACTCAAGCCTTGGTACCTGGTGAAACACAGGTCATCCAACTTACTCAAAAGGAACTGAGAGAGCAAAAAATCAAAGCATTGGCTGAGAAGAAGAAAGCACTGAGATTGATGAAGGAGCAGAACGATAAGAGCAAGAATGACAAGACTTTATCAAACAAGAAAAGTGACGAGAAGGTCAAAGACTCTAAGAAAGGAAAGAAGGACGATTTACAGAAAGAACTCGAAGATGATCGTGATTATGAATCCGGTGAGGAGGATAGAAGAGTGGATGAACCTTTGAATATCGGCTCTACAGTCGTGAAGAACTTTGTCAAGACCGACTTGCTAGCAGCATTTGGTCTTCCAACTAGCGGGAAAATTGATACAAAGGACCTTCTGAGCTCAGAGAAGAACAACGAAACGCCTTCTACAACACCGTTGAATTCACCAGGAGCAAAGAAATCACTGGTCGCAGAGAAAGATATTGCTCTCGCAAATGATAGCGACAATAATAGCGACAGTGACGATGAATTTGATGTCCTGAATATACTCAAGCATAAATCAGATGAAACGACGAATCAGACGAACAGTAAGCCGTTGTTTAGACTCAAGAGTCCAGAGCAGAAACCAAAGATGATTGAACTCGACGATAGTGACGATAGTGACGATGATGACATTCCTGTCAGGGTATCAAAATCAGAGATGTTGGAACTCAAGGCCAGATTCAGTAAAAAGACCCTCGAATCTAAGAAGAAAATGATGAAGAGTAATGTCATTACAAGGAACCAAATGTTTGAAAAGTTAAGAAATGCATCTCACAAACAAATTAAAGAGAGTCGTTCGTTATTCCCAGATGGCCAAGAAAAGTTTGATATGCTACAACCAGAAGATCTTGATGTTGAAGATCTCTTGAGAAAATATATTGAACATGCGAATACGGTTAAAGACCACGAATCAAGCACAGCTCATAAGCATAGATCATACAATCATGACGATGATGAGGAAGAAGACAGTGACTATGAAGGAAATGAGGTTGTGGAAAGCGATGTTCCGGAGTCCGCTGATGATGATGATAATAGCGATGTGGAGGAGGGTGACGAGAATGTGCCACCTAAACAAGATAACTATGGTTCCTATTTCGCAGAACAAGATGAAGGAGAAGACATTCCACAACCAAAGGTGAAGTCAAGAAAGAGAAACATCGTTGAAGATGATGAAGATATAGACGAAATTGCTTCCAAAGAGCTCACCAATGCCTTACAGAAGCATGAGCCTGGTGCATTTATCAATTTGGGATCTTTTGGAGGGAATTTCTCCCAAAGCGATAACCAGACTCAGAGGCTGAAAGACCTACTTGGTGTTTCTATGACTCAGGCTTTTGAGAAGGGTTCCGGGTCAATATCTAATGAGGAAGTTTCTTCTACCCAGATCTTCCAAGAGGCACGCAAAAACGGTGAACGCGTCTTGGGTGACGAATCTGTGGTGGACAGCCGGTTAGACGAGTCATTGTACATTGATTTTAACTCCCCAAAGCATACATGTGCCTTGATGGATGAACCAGATACACAACTAGTGGATATAGAGCCCCCAACTGCTGAGAAATCTTTCAATGCACCAAGTCTAGACACTCAGAAAATAACTCAGACCAACACTGATAGTGTCCAGATATATCAAGACACACTTCCTGATACCCTTCCAAGCTCACCAATTATTCAACGTACAAGAAGGCTGGTGAAGAAATCTACAGAATCAGATCTGCTCTCGCACAGCGAGGAAGACAGTGAAGAAGAAGAGGACATAGAAACAGAAGAAGAGAGATTGAAGCGTGCCGAGTTTTACAAACAACAACGTCGTAAAGCGTTGAATGAGGAAAAACGTCGTAAGAGGAATTTGAAGAGTAAGGGTCTTGACCAGATTATGGAGAATGAGGCTGAGGAATCTGAAGATGAATGGCAAGGTGTTGGTGGAGCGGAAGGCGAAAGATCGGACGAAGAGGATTCTGAAGATGAGAAGATGTTTGACGATGTTACTAAGATCAAGCAAGATAGAATGGAATTGGCTAAGGAAATTGCTGCAGAAGATGCACAAATGGATCAAAAGATGTTGATGAAAATCTTGAAGGATCTTGAAACAGGTAATTGGAAAAGACGTGGTGGTGATTCTGCTGATGGTTTCGATTTCTACGATGAAGAAGACGAGGTAATGAGAAGATACAAGATGTACCAACAGAGCAAACTAAGAGAAAAGTTTGAAGAGGATGAGAAATTAAGAAAATTGGCAAGAGATAAGAAGTCCAAGGCATTTTTCGAATCTATTACTGAAACGCAGGAGTCAAAGGCAGATATATTTGGCCGTGTTGACTGTGAAGAGACTTCCGAAGATGAGAGTGACAGTAACCCATTTATAAACAAAGAGAACAAGGATAAGCTCAAGTCTCCAGAGGAAGTTGGTGGCAAGAAGAAGATCCGTATCACACAGGCTTTTGTTCAGAAATCTTTGTCGTTTTTGGGAGACTATGACGACACGCCGCCACAGCCTATGAACTACATGGATGATGATGACAGCTTTGATGATCTTCATACTTTGAAGCAGAAATCAACCATCTATATGCCTAGTAAGACACCTCAGAAGAAGAAAGTTATCAATGTCGATCTATCAAGCTCTCCGTCTGATGCATTCAGAGTTCCTTCGTTGAAGAGGTCATTTGTCCAATCAGACTCGTCTGCTAAATCCAACGAAGTCACCATATCTACATCTTATAAGGCAGCCTCTAGCGCAAGGGCTTCTGTCATGTCCTTTGGTAAGGGAAAATCTGCTGCTAGCACAAACATAGAGGCACATAGTAGGGTCCTCAAGGCTAGAAAGATTGAGAAGACAATGAAGGGTTCCTCGAGTGGTGTTCTCAACAAATTGGGCAAATCAGCCTTTGAATAAAATTAGATGAAAAGGAAAACTGTACAACTTTTTTTAAAAACTTTATAAAATGTAATCAACTATAAATACCTTGAGTAAGTAACTGGAACTGGTCATAGAGCCTTGTGTAGACACTATTTATACTCTTTGCGATTAGATAGTTTTCAACAAAGGCGTCGCACTCCGATTCGGTCAAATGCAGCTGGAATCTCTGTCTAAACTGGACTGATGTCTGAGACCCTGCTTTGAAACACGGCAAGTCGCTATCCTTTTGCATCAATTCCACCATCGTGATCAAATGGTCCGCTTGCTTTCTCAAAGCTTTAAATGCATCTTGGGTCAACTTCTTGAACTTGATGAATGGAGCTCCATCAAGACCGCCAAGCAAGTCAATATATTCATTAGTGAGCTTGAATGGTGCAGCTTCAAAACCGACAGAGCCCGGAGAGTTAGAGAGCAAGAAACCAAAATCGATATGAATAATGTGTCCATCGTTATCCAGCATGATGTTACCGTTGTGACGGTCCTTAATTTGTAAAATGTAACAAATGACAGAATAACCGGCAAGGGACATTGCAAAGTTATCTTGTGCGCGCTTATACTTTGACGACGATGGTTCCCCAAAGCACCTCTCAAAGTGCTCTGTCAGTGAGCTGATTTTTCCCTTTGGATTATCACCACTCTCAATCGAGAGTTTTGTCAATTCCTTTTTGATAGAATGGACGGAAAGGGCATTGGTAATGGTTTCCACAAGACCAGTGTTGGCACTCGTGATAAGGATTCTCATTCTCTTGACCCATACAGGAATATTTGACGTTTTCCAAACAGACGCCATCGCTTGGATCACCTGGGAGGCAAATGCTTCTTGTCTCAAATCATCACCATTCTTGGCAATCACTGAGCACAAATCCCAATTATCGAGGTGTCCATAGGCACTCTGTTTACGGATTCTCTCCTTTTTAGTGTGCCAATCTTCACCGAGGTACGCGTTCGAGTTGTTATTGGAGACACCTCCTAACTTCAAGTCATTCTCCAATTTACGCTCACCAGCAGCTCCATGTATTGCCTCCAAATCTTTGTAGCCAAATTTATCCTGTAAGGATTGCATGGATGTGATAATCTTTGCCTTAATAGCAGCTGTCTGATCCGACGGTAATGAACTGGTGCCGCTATCAAGTTGCGACAACATAACTGCAGCTATTCTCATCTGTGTTGCCAAGTCTGAGTTATCTGAGTCTTCATCGAAACTCAGCTTGAGGTCCGAGCTAAAGTTCAATTCCTTTCCACGTTCATCCTCGTTGTCAATGATTGGAACCTTTGAGGATGACGCAACAAACATCTCGTTTGTCAACAACTCAGATTCATTCTTGTTTGACAACTTCACCACTGACAGATCACCCAAATCTGTTTCAACCGGTTCTTCTTCGAAGTAATCCGTTGGATGCGGAGACAACGAACTGGTTGGTTTAATACCTAGATCAAAAATGTAAGAGTTGTTTGGCTTCTCATGGAGTAGTCTGTTGTTCGAATTTGTAGTTGGATCAAAATCTAAATCGTCACTCAGGTATTCAATCAACAGTAAGAACGGAACTCTCTCTGCAGAATTCAACACTGCTGCTTCATTCGCTGCGATATGTACAATTTTGTGCAATTTACCCCTTCTGTTTGTGGGTAGTAACGTGGGGATATCCACCTCTGCGGGTAAATCTCTGTTCATGAGTGATAACTCTGCACGCAACGATGACAACCTGGCCTCTTTTGGCACTGCACTCAATCTCACCGAAATGGTCTGTAGTGCAATTGCAAATTGTGTTTCGCATCTGAAGTAATTCGATTTGAGTAGTTTGATCTTGCTTGGAGTGTTCATTAGAGAAGGTGAGATGTTTCTGATGTTGGCACCATGAGAGTTCATTCTATGACGAGTTCTTCCCCTCAAATGGCGTGGCCTATCTCCAGGGGATGAGCTCAAAGATGCAGTTGGTGATGATGGACCAGTTTGCGTCTGTTGTAAATCTGGCATTGACATGGTATTTGGATCATGGTCAAATCCAACACCAAACGTTGGTGAGGATGCAGTAGACAAATCATGACCAGTCTCGTAGAAGGAATGCGAGCGGAGTATATCTCTCGTGAGTTTGTTTCTCATCTTGTGATTCTTATCAATATCGTCAGCGTAAGCATCGATCAGCTCAAAATCATACGTTGTTTCAGTCTGTGGCGGTAACTTCTTCTTGTAGTCGTCCCCAATTGGCGACTTTGGAATCGTATCGTACTTCATACTGGAGCTGGAGTTCATCCTTGTATTCTTCAGGGTCAAGTTTTCAGTAATCTTCTGCTTCAAATTGGTTGCCAATTCAAACACAAAGCTCTTCTGCTTACGACCCTGGCTCTTGGCCACGGGCTCAATGAACTGTCCGAGTTGTGGTAGCCCAATTGACGCGGCAATCGCCGACGTCATAATAACAGCAGGCGCAACGTTCTCCCTGAACCTCTGCGACGGGGCAGAACCAACGTTAAACAGAATGTATTGTAGCGTGTTCAATACCCTTCTTGCGTTTTGGAACGCAAAGCTATTCGGATCATCTGCCAGGTCGGTCAAGTGGGCCTGAAGAGTCCAAAAGGTCAACAGCGCAAAATGTGGATCATTCGAGGCCAAGTCCAGCAGCAAATCCTCCAGCGCCATCGACTCCGTATCCACTGTCACCAGGATTTGGCACAGTTGCGGTATGAAGAAGCTGAGGTCGTCTAGCTTATACGTACGTAGCTTCTGGCAGAGATGGTGATGGATGCCAATGTTATTGGCGTACCGGGTGAGGTACGCAATGCACATGAACAGCGAAAACTGCTGCGATTCGATGAACCTCAACAGAAGGGAGTTGCCGCTCTGATCCATCGTGAATGGTAAACAGTTGAATTGTTAGCCGCCCTCTTCTGAAGGGTTCGAGTTTGTCTCCGTAGACTGTTTGTTGTTGTTGTTGTTGTTGTTGTTGTTGTTGTTGTTGTTGTTGTTGTGTTTTTTTTGGCCTGTATGGGTTTTTGTGGTTTTTGGCCTTATTCTTTTCCACGAGACTGTTCCAGCGGCTAACGTCTATAAAAAGGTGGTGGGATCAATGAAAGTTGTCGGAATTGGACAGCGCGCGTTTTCCTTCTTTGCCTGGACGCTCTCACTTTTGGTCCCGCTATTCTTCTCGGGCATCAATTGATTCCACTGAGAATATGACGAAGTAGCGGAGTCTCTCTAAGTGCTTTCCGTTGTTCTTGGTTAAGTCGAATTGGTTAGTGCTGTATTGCAATAAGTTGGACTCCTTTGCTACACCTGTGGGCAAGCGACATGACTGACGCTTTGTCTCTTGTTATTCCGACAGTTCGCTGGTGTTTTGCCAATGCGTTAACTGTGGATGGGCTCGCGAGTTAGCGGTTTTTCCGACGCGCCCCGGTGAAGAGGTAACTACAGTAACTTGAACAGCAAAGTATGGTAACATGGTGTGTCTATGGGAGGGAGGTTATCCACGTCGTGACGTGTGCACGTAGCTCTGCTAGAGTCAGTGGCTTTTCTCCATAGGTCTTATTCGTATTAGTCGGAGTCTTCTGTCTCCTCGCTCTTCTTCTTGCTCTTCTTGCTCTTCTTCTTCTTCTTGTCTTCATCCTCGTCGTCCCTTTCCCTCTTCTTAGATTTCTTCTCATACTTGTCCTCCTCTGGGGCTATGAAATCTTTTGCTCTTTCCTCTTCTCTTAGCTTCTTGTGCTCTGCCTGCTTTTCCTTCTTCTCCTTCATCTGCTTGGCCTGTTTCTCCTTCTTGCTCAGGAAATACTCACCACTCTCAATCTCAAGATCAACCTTTCTAGGAAGTTGGGCAGGTGGGAACGGAGTGTAAACTTTCTTCTCCTTCTTCTTGTTCTCCTCATCCTTGACCTGCTTAGGTTTCTTTCTAGCAACGTTTCTCTTCTTGAACATTGGTAAGTATCTGCTCCAGTCTTCCTGTGCCATCTCTGGATTGTTCTGTAGCTCTCTCTTAATCATTAGCTCCTTGATATGGTAGATAGGATGCACATTCTTCATACAGTCCTCAACGACCCTTCTGACATCCTTCAACCCCTTCCATGGACCCATGGCAGAAACCGTGTTACCTTGAACAAGAATGTAGCATTTGGTCAACAGCTCCAGCGCTCTTAAGGTGTTACCGTTTGGACCAACAAGCCTTTGTCTTCTCTTGACAAATCTTTCCTTATTAGTGACAAAGTTACCAATCTTGATAACATCACATGCAACGTCATCCTGAAGAATCTTGACGGCTTGTGGAAATGGAACTGAACGTGCCAATAGCTTGATCAAATCTCTAGCTTTGAGAATAATGGCAGGGTCATAGGTCTTTCTAGTGGTTTTAACAGTCATAGAACCCTCAACAAGATCTAAAGTACATGCAATGTGGTGTGATTCAAGTGTCTTTGTCACCTGGTTCCAAATCTGCTTGAGATACACTTCCCTATACTTGGGGAACAACGTCATAAAACTAGACTCCTCGGCAAAAGGTAAGCCAGATGCGTTATCCTCCGGCTTAAACTCATCAATTTTCCATTTGTCAATATCTGGAGTATCCCATGGCTTATCCTTGTTATGTGTAGAAACCATCTTTAAATTATCGTCAATAGATAAACAGATAAGATGATAGTTTGTGGTGATGTTCAGAAGCTCAGAAGCTCAGAAGCTCATCGCTTGAAAATTTGTTTGGGTCTTTTTTTAAAGTTTTTTAGCCCCATAGTTAAGCCGAACCTGGTAATTTCCTGTTTGGGTATTTATAATGATTTTTTCAATGCCCTGCGGTACACCGAGTGCTTCAACGTACATGAACGTCTAGGAGATGGTGATGATACGGTGAAGACTTTGATTGGTTTCACCGTAGTTTCATTTGTTAATTGACAGAGATATGTAACACGTACTATGGTTGATGTTTATCACGCAGTACGCATTCTCTCGTTTCGGTATATAGAAGTTTCCATTCGGTTTTGTAATGAATCAATTCTGAAACAACTCGCATACGATGAAACACCAGCCATCAAATGTATGAACAATGTGGGAATATTCCTGGAGAAGCTTAAATGGTGGAGGGAATCGCTTACTCAAACCGCTCATGGTAATTAAAGTAGGCGTTTCTGTTCCTTTCCTCTTCTATGTACCAATCTTCACGTCTTCCATATAGTTGAGCATGACGACTACGGTATCATTGGACCAATCGACAACGGTGGAAACCACGGTGCAGGAGACGCAAACAGTTATAGTACAAGGAGTTCTGGATGTCTTGGTGACGTCCACTACGTCATCATCACTTTCATCGTCGTCAATAACATCAGAGCCGAGTACAATATCTACAATCCGTTCACTGTCTACCTTAACTGCACTGGCTTCTTCACTCTCATCTTCAACAGTTATACAGTCATCATCATCACCATCATCATTGACCTCGAGTGCAAACAGCGGCATCAGACAATTCAAGGTCACTAATAATACGAATTACACCAATATCGGACTTGTCATAGGTATACCGGTTGCTGTGATTGGCATTTGTCTCCTGATATTCGGCGTCTGGTACTACTTCCACAGAAAACGTAATAAAGAGGCTAAAGCTAGCGATATGTTGAAACATTACTTCCACGATGAGTATAAGTGGAAAGCAACACCATCACCAGACCCCGGCTCTCAGTATTCATTCAATGAAAGTATGAGGGGTGTCTATAAAGTTCGGGCAAAGGTACCACATAACAGTGCTGAAACCCTAACTGAGAACCCTGCTATTTACGAAAAGTTTGCCAACTCTGAGATCAGCTTGAAAGACCCCCATGTTGATCAAGTGAACTCCAAATGGACCCTAAACAGTCCACTGAGTAAATGGTTTATGAATCATACAAGAGTTTCCAGCCCCACACCTCGAGGAAGCATAAAGGTATCACCATTCTCACCAGTGGTAGCACTTAAGGAATTCAAATTACACAAGTCCAAAAGGTCTGAAGTGGTTGAGAAATCACCAGTGAGTCCCTGCTTCCCACAACCATCGTACTTTCCCGGTTCTTCTCATACCATGAGCCATTCAGTATCTACTGATAGGAGTGAAACAACGAACCAGACGGTGCCAGTAAATACCGAAACAGACTCAGTTCCAAAGCTCAAGCTAGACAAACATAGAAAGGCCGGTCCAAAGAACTCTAAGACTAAGACATTGAAGAGATTAACATTTAGTGATAAACCTCTGCCGTCGAGACCTTCACCATCAAACTCTTCATCACAAGCAATAACCTCAGCTTCACTCAAGGACTTCGAAAAGATCGTTAGCCAACGTGCAAACACCACAACGCCTGTCGTTGACCATTCAAAGTATAAGGATGAAAACATATATGTGGCCATTACGAACTACCGCAAAGCCCTTGCTGACGAGCTCAATATTGACAAAGGGGAGCATTTCAAGATACTGGCAAGCCACACTGACGGTTGGTGTTTAGTGGAAAAGGTTGATGTACATGGTAGCATACTCCTAGACAACGAAGTCGGTCATTACATTAACGAAGGTCGTGGCGTGGTTCCAGAGATGTGCTTAGCTAAACTTCCAAACGTGTAAAACCAAAGAAGAAAGAGACCAACGTATACACTTACAAGCTTCAGATTAGGGAACAAATCAAGTATTAATATGAATAAAATGACTAAATCGAATCTATGTAAACAGAGTAACTATAAATATCTTTGATATGAATGTGTGTGTTTCATGCCTTTTTTGGATGGTCGTCTAACTCTAGGATGCCATCAAGGTTGTCATCAGCATCATCTTCAACCTCAGGACGGTTGAGTGCGAAACGGCGACGACCTCTAATGTACCAATAGACCACAGAGTAAAGACACATACCAACAAGCACAACAGATGCGTAATTCATGTTGTCCTTATCGACAGGCATTGTAAATGGAAAACAGAAGAAGACACAGGCAAAAATGGTCCAAGCAAGAGTCATAATGTTTGAAAACAGACCGAAATGACCCAGCCAGAAAGGACCGTGCTTGATGTTGTTTCTCCCTTTAATCAAAAGGCAAACAATAGGAATGGCGTATGACAAAAGCAAGAATGTAATACAACCAGTAACCATGGCGTTATAAGCCGTTGTAGAACCCATGTAGATACAACCGACAACACAACACCAGAAACATGAAAACACATGAGCATTCACTGGTAACCTGGTCTTCTTGTTAACCTCTGACCAGTAACGTGAACCTGGAATACCATCGTCTCTTGCAAATGACCAGCAGAGACGAGCTTGCCATGTCATACCAGAAATGTTACAGCCAAAAGCGGTCAAGACAATAAGTGCTTCAAGGCACAGGGCACCATGTTTGTTACCTAACGCTTGATAGAAGATATCCAAGATTGGAACTCCTGTGGTGGAACTTAGAATAGCATCCAAGTTTTTAATGCAGAAGAACATGGAAATTGCATAACAGAACGATGTGGCAAATCCAATAGCAACTGTTGACAAGATGGAAACAGGAATCCAACGTTCTGGCTCAACAATCTCTTCAGCCATGTGGGTGGCACAGTCGAGACAAGAGAACGACCAGGCTGGGTTGATTAAACCAACAATGAAAGCAATACCAGCTGACGACCAGCCAGTGTTGTTCTCAAAGTCCTTGAACACGAAACTGGCTGGCTGGTAATGACCACTAGAGCATGCAAGCACAGTAATTGAGATCGTGACAAAGGAAAACAGTGAAACGTACAATGCAGCAGATGTAATGTACGGAAGAGGTCTATCCCAAATGTTGAAAAGCAGCAACACCAAAATCAACAATTCAAAAGTGACAAACACCTCCCATGTCTTTGGAGCTGTTTCTCTACCTGTAGATAAGTTGTACATACCACAGATTGCAGAGGCAACAGCCAAAGTGGTTGAAGACGTTGAGAAGATGGAACCAAACCAAGCCATGGAACCACACATATAAGCCCAGAATCTTCTGTGCTTCTTTGGTGCCAGTTTGAAAGTCCAGTAGTATTGGCCACCAGAGTTCTCTGGGAATGCGCTCACCAGTTCTGAAAGCGAAACACCTATACACACGGAGACGGCCGCAACGATGATAATACCGTACACGATGAGCATCGGACCACCAGAGGAGATACCAGTGACCAAGGACGCAGAGATACCAAACCATGAGTTTGTCAAACCAAAACCAACACCCAAAAGCGAGAAGATATTAAACTTTTTTCTCAGATCATGGTGGTAACCTTCCTTGTCCACCTGACCAACAAAGGTACTTTCAGACTCGCCTCTGTCCACGGAATTCGACTCCAGGTCCAGCGACTTTATCTGGTCAGTCGGCTGCTTCTCCATAGAGCTTGCTGAGCTTGTTGTGGACACAAGTCCCTTGAATAATTTAGAAGCCATTATAGTTCACCAATCTTGAACGTAACACCAGTGAGCTCTTATATAGCGTGCAATCCTGATCAACAGTCGTAGAGCAATGTTATTTCTTTCGCAGCTTTCACGCTGTATGTAAAATTGCGGGACGAAAAACTGATCTCGAAAACTGATCTCTATAGCACAAGAACCGCCTATATCAAACTCAACACGAGTAATTTAAGCCCTGTGAGTACCCTTTTAAGACGCTAAACACCGTTTCGGAAGTTAAAACGCTCAAGTACCGCTATTGGAAAATAGTTCTCACTATGAGTTCGAATGGAGTTTGTACTGTGTGGAGTGGGCAGTGGAGTGTATTCTCTTGCTTTTAAATTTTTTCACATGGTCTCCCGAGCGGTTCCCTTATTCTGTGACTTTTTTTCACATGTGATTTTGCAAACTGGTGTGGGTGTCTGGTTTTGTGACTGCTCTTTTATCGCCAGTCGTTGGCTATGATGTTAGTGCCATATTCTGTTGCAAGTTGTTTGTTAGAGTTGCAGTAACAATGAGCACTGGTTACGGGGGGAAATGTAGTTGATAAAAGGTGTCAAAACATCGTGAAACATTTCGCCTAATCCTGACAGTAGCCATAAGCACTATCATAATTCCATAGGAATTTTGAATTGATGCCTTTTTTCGCCTTGAGCTGTATAATAGCCAGGGTGGGCCCTCTTCCATAAACGGCAACCGTGCACACGCGCGCACACCCGCACGGAACAGCAGTGCTGAACCCGCGGGCCATGGCGTTTGCGTTTGCGTATGCGGTAACATCCTTACACCAGTCCGAGTGTCCCGAACAGACTGGTTGGTGTTCAGGTGTGTGCTCCTTCTGTAAGCTTGTTTAGTGTTTACAGCCCTACTGTTGGTTTAACCGTGCCTTGTGGCACTGTGAAAGCTGTCAGTTTGTAGAGAGATGGTGAAGACTGGAGACTTCTGGCCAAGTCTTCTTATTTCTACCGCAGTGTTTGTTCTGTTACTGTTGCTGGAATTCTTCTCTTAGAGAGGCTCCAGCAGTGTCGTGAGCGACGCTACGTTCCTGTGCTTACACAACACAAGCGCTAACAATACAGCAAGTAACTAACCTCTCGGGCCCTATACTACACACACTGTCGAAGGTAAAACCAAATTAAACAACGAAGTCCAAATATATAGGTCCACAGAGAAGCCGTAATGCACCGGGCATTCAGTCTAGGCTGTCTTTGGACGATCATCTAACTCCAACACACTTTCCATGCTGTCGTCAGAATCGAATTCAGGGTGGTTGAGCGCAAAGCGGCGGTGGCCTCTTGCAAACCAATAGATCACAGCATAGAGAATCAT